TTCTCATCTGCCCATTCCATTGAGGTGAGGGGCAAGGGGAATGTCTTCACATGCTTGGACTAGACTTCTCTCTACCTCACCAATGGGTTTGAGGCCTGTAAGTTATCCTCAACCTGGTGTAGCCTATCTGCTGAGATGGTTTTACTGGGGTGTGGCCCCCTGCTATAGCTTCTTGGAGACATCGGTGAGAGTTAGGTGACAGATGGACACCAAAAGTGGATAAGCAACTATGTTTGTTTGTTTTTTTTGGTTAGTCAATGGGGTTAAGTGACTTGCCCAGGGTTAAGTGTTATGTGTCTGAGTCCATATTTGAACTCAGGCCCTCCTGAATCCAGGGCCGGTGCTCTATCCACTGCACCACTTAGTTGCCCCCGATAAGCAACTATGAAAAGCCCTCACACCAGAGGTGTTAGTCCTCTCTGAACACCCCATACATCCCAGGGGTGTATGAGGTACTTAACATATGTTGAATGAATGAGTAAATGAAATCCTCATAGTAATTGCTTGATTGGTTGCAATACTGTGTTTTACTTTAAGGATGATTGTTCTGAATAATATCTACAATTCACAAAACTACCATTTGGGATAGGTTTCAGAATGAAGGTAGATATTTGGGGGAAAAAAGATTTATTTTATTCATCTCTCTGACTCCTACTTTCTCTTTTTCAGCTATCTATCCACATGTCCACTTAACCATTATTACCAGCTTCCCTAATTTAGTTATTTTTCCAGTTACTTCCTTTTTAGAACCTTTGGTACCATCTGTGGTAGCAAGGTTCCTACTAATTCTTTAACTATGGATTCCAGGGCTTTGAGGTCCCCAGTACTGACACATTCCATTTTGTCACCACGACAATGCATTTTCAAACTGGCTTTAATGTTTAAGGGTACAGTCTATGACCATGAGATACAGCACAACTAACTGGACCAAGCAGGCCATAACCTTGGCCCCCATTGGCATCATTCTCTAATTGACTGAATGGTTTGTTAAGGCTATGGAGAGCATTATGCAAATATGTGCAAAAGTTGACAAGTCTGATTAAAAGTAGTTTACAACATGCTATCACATTTTTTACTTTGATGCACTGCTTCATATATACATAGTTTAAAGTGAAGGTATATCTTGTTTTATAGAATAGATATGTGTTTCTAAAATACAGGGTGTCCTAAAAATTTTAGTGCAGGTCTATGATCTAATGCCTCAGAACTGGGGATCCCTATACATGTACATATTTTTATAAATTGTATAATATGTTCAGCTCTATAGAAGAGGGTTCTTTACCTTTTTGTGTCATGGATTCTTTTATCAAACTGATGAAGTTTATAGACTTTTTCAGAATAATGTTTTACATACATAATATAAAATGCATAGGATTACAAAGGAAACCAATTATGTCGAAATGCAGTTATCAAAATATTTTAAATAACAAAATATTTAAAAACAAGTTCCTAGATCTTAGGTTAAGTTTAGAGGAGCCTTGTGGTAGCTCCAAAGTCTTTGCAAGATAAATCCAGCTTCATTTGTGCTTCTTGACTACATGTTTTCTTATATGGGATTTTCTTAAAGTACCACAAAGCTGCTCACTCAACAATGCCTCATTGTTCCTCCTTTAAGAAAGTATTAATGGTCCATCACTACAAAGTAATCCTACAGTCAAAACAAAACAAACAAAAAAGTGCCTATAGCTCAATTACCATTAGTGATTTTTAAATAACCTCAAATAAATTATAGCCAGCCCTAGAAGGTGGAGTGAAAAAAAAACATCTATCTTTTGTTATGAAAAACAAATACTAATATACCAATTTGGATCAAAAGCATTAGAGAGAATATTATTATTGAATAAGAGTAAATATATATACATATATATTTATATATATTTAAAATGTGGTTCACAGATTTCCTTTTGGATTAATCTTTCTCGTTTTACATTCATTACAAGCTCCCAGGATTTTAACTTGGGAAGGAAAAGGAGGTCTTTAACCAGGGAGCAAAAATTTAGTATAAGTTGTTTAGTAGAATAGAAACTAAGCTTAATAAGAATAATTCATTTAAGTAAGAAACTACCAGATTTTATATGTTCTCCCTTTGACCCTTCCCACACCAAGCGAATTCTTCCCCAGCCAGACCATGCCTCCTCTGTCCCTCTCACCCCTTAATGCCACTCATCCCAAGTATAGTTTGTACTTCTTACTGTTGCTGCAAAAATGGCTAACTGTTCCTGTTTATACACCCCATCACAGTGAAGGAAGATAATTCCATTTGGCAGTTGCAATTAGCCACCAAAGCTTCAGTAGCTTAAAATTTCACAAAGACTTTTGGGATACCCTGTATCAGTTTGTATTCACCTAATTTTTAAAAAATGTGTATTCTTCTGTCTTTTCCTGCAATAAAATTCTAAAGTATCAGAAGTAACATGGGAGGAAAAATAGACAGTGAGACATTTTGTGAAGAAAGACAACACGTCGCTATTGTTTAATTCCAGGCCATGTGCCTAATTAAAAATTAAAAACAAAAGATGGCCAATGTAAAAAAAAAAAGGTATTTTATATCTTTCAGCTCTGTAATGCCCTATACATTTTCCTATTTTAATGGCTCACCACAGCATGTCAGAGACATGGCTCTGGATTCTTGAAGGCTATGTGTGTCAGCAAAGGCCAAGCGTTGGCAAATCCTAACAACCTGGAAAGGCTCTGAGTCTCAGCCAAGTGACAAACTGTTATCCTAGCTAAGTTCAGAGAGGCTCATCGCCGGAAGATTTGTTATTTTTGGCTAAAGTGACTCATGAAGCCATCTACTATGGTGTCAAGGAATTTGCCATCCATATTAATGCAGAGAGGATCCACACTTGTAAAAATCACAGATCTTTAAAAATACAAAAATAAATAGGTCTATTATTGTTGAATATTCCTCTATTAACAATGTTTACTGGTTCCATTTTTACTTTAGAATAGTAATGGTGTCTGTGGGTAAGAAATTTCACACAAATAGACTATTCAGTGCAAGAATAAATTGTTCTTATTGTTATGCATAGGAAAACCTGCTGGATTTGGAGTCAGAAAATCTGGTTTCAAACCTGGCTTTGCTATTTACAACATATAAATTTGGGTATGTTATATAACTTCTCCAGGCCTCAGCTCATCCATCTGTAAAAAAGAAGGGTGATTAAATATTAGATGACCTTGGAGGTATTTTCTACCTCTAAATCTGTAATATTTTCCTGTAAGTAAATAGAGGAGAACTCAAGAAGAAATAGGAATATTTCTGGGCTTATACAGTGAAGAACTAAGTTGGCTAGCTATGGAAGGGGTATTTAATTAATCAGTGTGTATCAATGACAGGAGTATGGTCCTAGAGTCAGCTAAATGCATGCCTTCTTATTAGTTCTCCATTGATAGTATAGAGCTCTCATGACTTTTGCAGGCTTTTGAACCTTAGTCGAAAGCCAATCTTTTCGATGGGTATGACTTACTTTAAACCAATCTGAATATGTGAGTAACCAGAGTCAAACATTTATTTATTTAAGTAATAAAAAGTTTTTCCAGGATTCTTTTATATAAATTCTAGTGGATTGTAACCATCTTTCATTTATAAAATTTGTTGTATTTAGAGCTTTTTTAGGGAAACCTCTAGTACATAAACAAATGGGCATGTCACAACTTCTGTGAACCTCAGTTTCTTCACCTGTAAAATGGGCATAATATCTATGGCCTCCTACTCTCATGGGTTCATTGTGAGGCTCAAAAGATGTAATGAATATAAAGCACTTTGCAGACTTTAAAGCGCTATGTAAAGGTCAGTCACGATTATCATTACAAATTTCAGTTTTCCTGAATTTAAGTCAGTAAAAGCATTTATATTGAATCTCCTTACTCATAGTGGATAGAGAGCTGTTCTTGGAGCCAGGAAGACCTGAATTCAAATCCTGCTTCAGTGTGGTCCTAGGGAGTCATTTAACCTCTCAATACTCTAGGCCAGAGGTATCAAAAGCAGGGACCACAAGTGGCCCACAACATTCCCTGGGAGCCTAACCAAAATGAAAATGTAATTGAGAAATGTTTAACAAAATAAATAAAAATACAACCCAGCAGACATTAATTTGTGGTTTTCTATGTCAATGTACAACTGGCAGGAATCCATTTCCATTGAGTTTGACACCATAGCATAGGTAATTAATTCTCTAATTTGCAAAGAAGGGGTTGACCTGCATTGATAGAGGGAGTTTCTTATGCCAATGAAATCACAGGTCCATTCCCTATCTTTATTCTCCTGGTCTGCTAATCACCACCTACTGCAGTTCTAATAAGGCTCCATGTAGAACTTGTCCAAAAAGATGTCAGTGTTCTATACTGGTATGATATATGAGAGGGTAAAAAAAGCCCTGGAGATATCTTCTGGGGAGAATACACAGCCCTCCAAAATATAACCTAACCTGCCATTCAGTAACTTGCTAATACATTTTTGGTACCATCAAGCCTATCTCGACCATCAACTCTGGGGGCTATCTCCAGTCATCCTGATCTATAGCTTGCCACTGGACCCAGATGGCTCTGGGGAGGAAAATTAGGCTGGTGACTTTACACAGCCTCCTTCATTTAAATCTCATCCACTTGCAAATCATGGCATCATCTTCCTGATGTCATGGTCCCCTTAGACAACGAAGGACAAACAACAGCAACCGCCATCAACACTACCAGTAGAAAGGTGAAAAATCAATCATGCAACCACCTAGTTTACCTACAAATGCCCAAATAACTTCTTCCTCTTTTCCTTCCTCCTTTCAATTGATTAATCTGTGTGACTGAATCAGCCAGCTGGCTTTGCTAATTTAGAGACAAATTGAGATGCTTTATCCATCAAGTGCACATTTAGGCAAATGTTAACAATTAGTCTGTAATGTAATCAAAGAGAAAGAAAGATAAATAGAGAATAAACAAGAAACATGTTGAACACAAGACAGAGTGGTGGGAGCCTAGCAACAGCAGAGCAGCATCTTCCCTACCTTGGGCTCCTTCCCCTGCCTCTTTCTTTTCATCTGTTCTCCAAGGCAGGGTGGGATGATTCCCAGGGAATAACAGAGAGCAGGTGAGCCCAACATCAAGGCCCTGGCTTCCACATCAGGAAACCAAGGGAAGTATTAGGTTCAGTGGCTCGTGCTCTGACTGAAAGGTCGTTGCAGAGTTCCTGTGACTTTGCAGGAATGCGGGCAGCTGCTCCCTTGGCCTGAATTACCCATTTTTCCAGAGGAGCTTCCGCCTCTCTGTCAAAAGCATGATTTTTAAATAGCCTCTGGCAACTTGCCCCAGTGGCCAGTCCCCACCCAGCCCTTTCTAATTGTTTTGGTGGTTATTTTCTTGGCTTTGTTTGCCTCTTTGTTTTGGATTTTGGGGAAAGCTAACCAACCTGCTTACAGAAGCCAGGCACAAGATAAACTGTGGCAGGTCTGAACAGTTATGGAAAGGCAGGACTGCCGTGAGTGGTATAGACACCAAGGCATAGCTTCAGAAGAGGGAGTGACTTGCTGCCCCCTTTTGGACCTCATTGGTATGACCTCCATGTAAAGGGTTGCAATTACGTTTAGGGATGGTTTTCTTTATCAAAACCCTGGAATTTCGGGTTCATCTCAATTGTTTTTGCGCTTGAGAGAGACTATTTGCCTGAAGGCACAAATGCCACTACATAGATAGAACAACTGTCAGGTTAGAAGGGACCTCAAAATCCCTTGTTTTACAGATAAGAAAACTGAGGCCCAGAGAAGTTAAATAACTTGCCCAACATTACATAGGCAACAAGTGAGAAAGTGAAGATCCGAACCTAGTTCTTTTTTGCTTCACATCCAACACTCTTTGCCCCACTCTGGGTTTAAGAAATTGTCTCTCACTAAACAACAGCCAGAGTTGGGTCTTTCTTTTCCTCTTTGTTTTCCTTTCCCTCTTCTTCTTCCTCTCTCTTTCCCTCTTCATCTCTCTCTCCCTTTCCCTCTTTCACTCCCTCTCCAATTCCCTTTCCCTCTCCCTCTCTTTCTCCTGTTTCCTCTCTATCTCCCTGTCTTCCTCTCCTACTTCCTTCTTCATTATTTACAGGCTACGGTAAGGGAAAGTTATTCACACTATTCATGCTGTGCAAAACGAGACTATGAAAATATATCCAAATAAGAATACAACATTATAACCAGGCAATTCTCTTAATAGAATTTTTTTTTACCTTTGTATTTAAACATAATGTTGAATGCATAGCATATGAATGGGGATGAAAAAAATGACATTCAACAAATATTTATTGACACCTACTATGTGCCTAATGTTGTAACTAGGCAGTGGGGTGATAAATTGGAAAAAAATTACATGACATAGACCCTGTCCTCAGAGAGCTTACAGTCAGTCTGTTGGGGGCTTACCTCCATTGTCTTTAGGAGGAAATGGAAAAAATCCTCAACCTGACATTTAAAGCCTCCTTGACAAAGCCTCCTACATAGGAGCCTTAACTTTCCAGAGTGTTTTGCATTATTCCACTTTCTGCATTTTCTAGTCCAGTTAAACCAGCCTGCTAGCTGCTCCCTAGATACAACACCAATCTCTTTGCCCATATGCCTTTTCACAGTCCATCCCCAGTGCCTGGGATCCACTTCCTGTTCATCTTTGCTTCTGGGAATCTCTAGTTTCCTTCAAGGCTCAGGTCAGGTTCTGAGAGAAGCCTTTCCCAACCCACGTAGATGTTAGAGCTCTTTCCCTCTTATAACATATATACTTAGCTACATTTGTTACTTAGCATTGTACATGTTGTATCCTCCAGGTAGAATGTAAACTCTTTGAAAGCAGGGACGGCTTCAGAGCCTTGTACATAGTGGGCACTTAGGAAATATTTGTCAAATTAAATCAACAGACAGATATTGTTGGACTGGGTAGTGGGGATACAAGTACAAAGAATGAAATAATCTCTACTTGCAGAGAGCTTATGTTCTTGAATTGAACAATAAAAGATACCATATAGGATCATAGAATCAAAGATTTAGAGCTGGAAGGGACCTTAGAGGTCGCTGAGCCTACATCTTTCATTTTTCAGATGAGGAAACTGAAGAAATATGGAAATGAAATGACTTGCTCATCCACCCTACTACCAAGTGGCTGGGTTGGAATTCCCACTGAGGCCTTCCTAACTCCAAGTCCAGCAGGGTTTAACCATGCTGTCTCACACCATGGGTCATATAACAAAGTTGGCAAAACCTATCCTTGGAAACTGCCTCCTCCAGTCTGTAGCTGGAGCTTCTGTTGATAGCCCCGAAATCTCTTTGCTTTGTGACAATGACTCTTCCTTTCAGAGACTGTCCCCAAGATTTTGCGGAAAGAAAAGGTGCCCTTTCTTCTTTGACTGTCACATGCCAGGCTGGTCTGTCCAACACTCTTCTCAGCATCCCACAGCCACGTCTCACGGTGGTGTTGCGTCATGTCTTCTGCCTGTTCTGTCTGGCAAACGACACCTCTTTCCCTACATCCTGCTGTCATCTCTCATCCACAAATGTCCAGGGGAACTGGGATACAGCAGATATAGATTTTATGCTGGTCTCTTGGCTTTCAGGACTTGCTTAGTTAATCATCAAGCATTCAGTAGTTTTAAATTTCCATAGGGAGGGCTGAGGAGATTGCTCAAGAAGACTGTGTGTGCCTGGTGTCTGGCAAGTCCAAGTCTCAAGGCCACCAAGCAGAACATAACCCTTGCTCTGTAACTCTTTAGTTTGGTTAGGTTGTGGTGTTCAATGGCTGGTTGAATTATCTCTGCTCCACTGGCTGGACAAATTATTACGCTGGGTTTCCAGCGATGGTAGCACAGGGTTTGTGCCCGTGGAAAGTGATGAAGATTATAGGCCATTGTTGTTGCAATTCAAGAGTTTCCGTTTTGTCTGACTCTGTGACTCCATTTGGAGTTTTCTCGGCAAAGATACTGGAGTGGCTTGCTATTTCCTTCTCTCGCTCCTTTTGTAGTTGAGGAAACAGAGGCAAACAGGATTAAGTGATCTGCCCAGGGTCACAGAGCTAGTAAGTGTTTGAAGCCAATTTGAACGCAGGTCTTCCTAACTCCACACCTGGCACTCTCTCCATTGAGCTACCTAATAGGCCATTACTGCTCCCTTATGGAAAAGTGCAAAAAGCATAGGTCAACCTAGTTTCACTGTCCACTGAAGTCATTCAGTCCCAATGGTATGCTCTTCTTGTCAGCATCCCAAAGAACATGCTGGCTTTCTTGGTTCTGTCTTCTGTCAACTTGTCAGCATATCATTTTTTCACTGAATGGCTGAAGTAACAACTTTGGTTTGTTTTTTTAATTTTCTATTTTATTATAAGTATGAGAGGCAGTGTAATAGAATGGAGAGAAAGCTGACTGTAAGGATAGTAAGAGCTGGGTTCAAGAACTGCTTCTGACACCTGCTGGTTGCATGACCCTGGACAACTAATTTAACCTCTCAATACTCTCAAAAGCTCTCTAAGAATATCAGCTTCAGAGGAAGTGTGGATCTGCATTGGTAGAATGAGTTTTCTCATTGAGGGAATTCCCTCTGCCAAATAGTTCCTACTCCTATCCTCAGTTATGAACAAATGCAAATATTCTGGTAATCTAATATTAAGAACGGGAAAGACGATTACTGTGAAACCATGAACTTTTGCTTACATACAGTTTGAATTTAAAAAAATTATATATCAAATTTAACAGAATAGGTAGAAAGAAAGGGGAACATGCATTTATTTACCACTATGTGTGCCAGGTACCGTGTTAAGCACTTTACAAATATCTCCTTTGATCCTCTCAAAAACCCTGTGAGGTAACAGCCATTATTATCCCGATTTTACAATTGAGGAAACTGAGGCATACAGAAATTAAATAATTTGCCCAAGGCTGCACAGCTACTAAGTGTCCAAAGCTAGATGTGAATTCAGGTCTTCCTGATTCCAGGCCCAGAGTGTGTCACCTCTGTCTTGTTTGTGTCCTTTTCTGAACTTTTTGCTTTGTTCATATTTTCTGGAACTGCTTTTAGATTTCTGTTGCTGACACCTTTGGCTGTGTTTGAGGCTTTGGTTAAACTAATTATTATCCTATAGCACCAAATGAAACTTCAGATCGATCTTTGATTCACCATGCAGCAAATATAAAAGTTCTTACTGCACATGCTAATGCTGTGGTAGGACAAGCCATAAGTCAAAGACTATTAATTATATTTACAGCCTGGGAAAATGGATAGCTTCTCAGAAATTTGGAGGTGTAGTCTTGTTTTGGCTTTCTGAGTTCTTGAGAGTAGGGCTGCATAAAGTAGGTCAATTAACACTGGACTTATGTAGTTTTGTTTTTCTTTCTTGATGATGCGAACGTACCTGAGAAGAAGATCATGCTATCCAAGAAGAAGAGTCGAATCAAGACCCTGGTTCGTCCTGAGTAAAGTCTAAATCAGTAGCCTGCCCTTTGCTACCTTCCTTCTTCATCCTTGTCAGAAAATGTTATAATTCTCTTAAGTTCAATTAGCTACTGACTATGGTAGGGAGATGATTTGTCCCCTCCCATTTTAAACCCAGGCTTTTGGGATAGTTGATCTAAGGCGAATATTCCTAAAAAATTAAGGGATACCCTTTTCTCACTCTGCCTAAGAAATATGGCGATACCTTCAAATGACCATAAAGGACCTTGGGATTCCTTTGACTTATCAGCTGTTCTTCAGGTTTCTTTTTGTGACTCCTTTCCAATTTGTGATATCTTTTATAGTAACTGCACACAAAAAGAAAAGCAAGAAAATCCTGATTCAATGTTCTCATGCTCATTTCCTTTGGTATCTTTCTTTCTTCCTTCCAATCTTAATTAAATTCAAACCAATCTGAAAACTCTTCTTCAGGGAACCTAAGTACTCTTAAGTTGGTAGGTGGTGCCTACTTTCCTTAGCTACTTGTACTACTCCCACCCAAATCACCTTATTTCATGTGTATATATGAGTGTGTGTGCATGTGTATATACACACACACAAACATACAAACATATAGATATATACACATACATACACACACATGTATGTTTATCACACTAGGTCTCTCACTATTACAGATATTATTACTATTATTATAACATCGGTGATGAATCTTTAAAAACAATG